AGAGTAGAGAGCCCAGATATGGACCCTCAACTCTATGATCAAATAATCTTCGACAAAGCAGGAAAAAATGTACAATGGAAAAAAGACAGTCTCTTCAATAAATGGTGCTGGGAAAATTGGACAGCCTATGTAGAAGAATGAAACTCGACCATTCTCTTACACCATACACAAAGATAAACTTGAAATGGATAAAAGACCTCAATGTGAGGCAGGAATCCATCAGAATAATAGAGGAGAACATAGGCAGTAACCTCTTCGATATTAGCCACAGCAACTTCTTTCAAGATACGTCTCCAAAGGCAAAGGAAACAAAAGTGAAAATGAATTTTTGGGACTTTATCAAGATCAAAAGCTTCTGCACAGCAAAGGAAACAGTCAACAAATCAAAGAGGCAACCCACAGAATGGGAGAAGATATTTGCAAATGACAGTAAGACAAAAGGCTGATATCCAGGATCTATAAAGAACTTCTCAAACTCAACACACACAAAACAGATAATCATGTCAAAAAATGGGCAGAAGATATGAACAGACAATTCTCCATTGAAGACATACAAATGGCTATCAGACACATGAAAAAATGTTCATCATCACTAGCCATCAAGGAGATTCAAATCAAAACCACATTGAGATACCACCTTACACCAGTTAGAATGGCCAAAATTAACAAGACAGGAAACAACGTGTGTTGGAGAGGATGTGGAGAAAGGGGAACCCTCTTACACTGTTGGTGGGAATGCAAGTTGGTGCAGCCACTTTGGAAAACAGTGTGGAGATTCCTTAAGAAATTAAAAATAGAGCTTCCCTATGACCCTGCAATTGCACTGCTGGGTATTTACCCCAAAGATACAGATGTAGTGAAAAGAAGGGCCATCTGTACCCCAATGTTCATAGCAGCAATGGCCATGGTCGCCCAACTGCGGAAAGAACCAAAATGCCCTTCAATGGACGAATGGATAAGGAAGATGTGGTCCATATACACTATGGAGTATTATGCCTCCATCAGGAAGGATGAATAATACCCAACTTTTGTATCAACATGGACGGGACTAGAAGAGATTATGCTGAGTGAAATAAGTCAAGCAGAGTCAATTATCATATGGTTTCACTTATTTGTGGAGCATAAGAAATAACACGGAGGACATGAGGAGATGGAGAGGAGAAGGGAGTTGAGGGAAATTGGAGGGGGAGATTGTGGATTCTGAAAAACAATCTGAGGGTTTTGAAGGGGCGGGGCGTGGGAAGTTGGGTGAGCCTGGTGGTGGGTATTATGGAGGGCACGTTTTGTATGGAGCACTCAGTGTGGTGCATAAACAATGAATTCTGGTACACTGAAAAGAAATTTAAAAAAAATTTTTTAAAATGTGTGTGTGTGTGTGTGTGTGTGTTACAAAAAAAAAAAAAAAATCAGGCTGACCTCTGGATTTCTCAGCCACAACAGAAATATCAAACATATAATAAGAATAATATATATAATAAACGTAATAATATACACAGTAATAATATAATTATAAATATATTTTCAATTGTAATATTGTACAATTGTAAATATATTTTCTGTTACAGAGGAGAAAACCAAGGTTTTCTCCTTTGTAACAGAATTGTAATATTGTACAATTTGTAACAGAATTGTAATATTGTACAATTGTAAATATATTTTCTGCTACAGAGGAGAAAACCAAGGTCAGTCTGTTTTGTTAACTTTAGCTATGAATTTTTATGCAACATATAAGATAGCATAAATATAAAATAAAATGAAAATAGAAATTCAAAAAGAACATAATCAAGATACAGTTTTTTTGTTATACTGAGCTTTTAACAAACAAAAAAGAGGCATAAAAATTAGAATAATATAACTAATTCAGTTTAAGTTCCATGCAATATGTAAAGGTACCCAACACACTAAACAATATAATCATCATCTTCCCCATCTGCTTTACCCCTAAATAAAAAACTCTCAATTCCAAAAGATAGAAATTGTACAAGCCATCTTTTTGTACCATGATGTCATAAAACTGAAAATTATTTACAAAGTGATAATTAGCCATAAACTACTTGGGAATATTTTTTTAGCATTTTATTTATTTATTTATTTATTTATTATATTCAGTTAGCCAGCAATATAATACATCAATAGTTTTTGATATGGTATTCAACAATTCATTAGTTGCATATCATTTGGGAATTTGAATACATCTTCAATAAATAATTCTTAGGTAAAGACAAAATCAGATAACTATTATAAAACTGTATATTTTTCCCAAATTAATTCATATATTTAATACAATTTCAATTAAATCTCAATAGGATTTTTTCTGAAATGTGACCGAATTGTTCTAAAGTTCGTTTGGAGGGGCACCTGGCTGACTCAGTGGTTACTGCGTATGACTCTTTTTTAAAAAATTTTTATTTATTTATTTGACAGACAGAGATCACAAGTAGGTAGAGAGGCAAGCAGAGAGAGGAGGAAGCAGGCTCCCGCTGAGCAGAGAGGCCAATGTGGGGCTGGATCCCAGGACCTGGGATCATGACCTGAGCTGAAGGCAGAGGCTTTAATCCACTGAGCCACCCAGGCGCCCCAGTGCATGTGACTCTTGATCTCATGGTCATGAATTCAAACCCCACACGGGGAATAGATTATTTAAAAGGTGAAAGATTTATGGGCATAGATTATTTTTTTAAAAAAAGTTTCTAAAGTTCACATGGAAGAATAAACTGGCAAAAAATAACTTACTAAGGAAAGTCTAATTCCATTAGATATTAAAACATTACAAAGCAATAATAGTATTTATTTATTGAGTGCTTATTATTAATTAATTTATAAATAAATTTATTGAGTGCTTATTATGTGCCAGACACTATTCTAAGCATATTACATGAATTAACATATTTGATCCTCACAACAGTTCTGAGTAGATACTCTTATTTTCCCCATTTTACAGATAAAATACTGTATGATTTTTTTTTAAGATTTTTATTTATTTGACAGAGAGAAAGCACAAGTAGAGGGAGCAGCAGGCAGAGGGAGAGAGTTGAAGAAGCAGGTCCCCTGCTGAGCAGGGAACCAGATGTGGGGCTTGATCCCAAGACCCTGAAATCATGACCTGAGCTGAAGGCAGACGTTTAACGGACTGAGCCACCCAGTCACCCCTGTATAAGATTAGACAGAAGACAGATAAGTGAATGAAACACAAAAGGTAGTCTGAAAACAGACATATATATATATACACATATATATACACACATATATACACATATGTGTGTGTATGTGTGTATTCATATAGACTCATATATGTAATTTTATATTGTAATCCAGGGAGCATCAAAAGTCAACAGAAAAGGATTATTCAGGTAATGTCCCAGTTAATTGGTTAGTGTAGTTAATCCCAAATCTGTCTGTGCATCAAAAGCATCTATGTTTAAAAAAAAAAAATACAGAAGCTGGGGTTCCGTTTCTAAATATTCAGATTCAGGAGCTCTATAGTAGGGCTTGGGCATATGTAGTTTTATTCAGCTCCTCAAGTGATTCTGATAGCCTAGAATTTTTTTACTTTTAATCATATATATGTTTTTAATTTACCTTTTCATTACTGATTCCTAATTTAATAACATTGTAGTGAGAGAATATAGTTATTGATACCAATCATTTGAAAGTTGTTGAAACTTACTTTCAAACTTCATGCACAAAAAAAACAAAAAAAAAACAAAAACAAACAAACAACAACAACAAAAACTTCATGCACAGCCCATTTTAAAAGGGATTATTGTGTGGTTGAGGAGAAAATATATTCTCTGACTCTCAAAGGTACTGCTTGAGGCTTGTCTTTTATAGATTAATTTTTAAAATCTAATCTGAAACTCTGATACTAAACTCTCTGTCTTTTTACCCTATGATATGCTCTTTCATATTCTGGGTTTTTTTTGTTTTGTTTTGTTTTGTTTTGTTTTGTTTTACTCTGCTGTCATGGAAGAGATTATCTTCCATTTCTGTAGTTCTCTCCTCAGTGAGTTCTAATCTGCTGATTGGCAATCTATTGGGTTTCTTTATTTCAATAACTATATTATATTTTTTTATTCCCAAAAGTTTTTTTCTAAATCAATCTAGTTATTTTCTCATATTTCGTTGCCTGCTCATATTTCTGATTTCATTAATTTCTTCAAACATTTCATACATATTTGCTTAATATCTTATGTTTGACAACTCCAATATCTGAATTATTTGGAGGTCAAATTTATTTTCATGTTTCTGGTGACTCTTTCTCATGGTGACTCATATCTTCATACATGTAAAAATTTTTAATTATTCTTATTCTAAGGAGTCCTAGAGGCCTAAATAGAAAATGCTTTCCTGGGGTACCTAGGTGGCTCAGTTGGTTAATCGTCTGTGTTTGGCTCAGGTCATGATCTCTGCTTCTTGGGATCAAGCCCCACATTGGCCTCCCTGCTCAGCAGAGAGTGTACTTCTCCCTTTCCCTCTGCCTCCCTTCTGCTCATGTGTTCCCTCTCTCTCTTGAATAAATAAATAACATCTTTAAAAAAAAAAATTTGATCCTTGCCCATTTGAGAATACCAGGATAGAAGCCCAATGCCCAGCTGACGTAAGGGCTTCATTAAGAACTTGTCATCTGTCCATCTGTTAGGGACTCTACACAGAGGACAAATCTAACCAAACGTACCCAGAGGGAACGCTTCAGTAAGATTGGTTTCTCCTGAGCAACTAACAATGCCCATTTGGGAAAAGGCCTGTTAACAGAATTAGCCATGAGAACCCTCATTAGAAAGAGTAGCCCATAGTGTTCCTGTGAACTCATTTACTCTTATAAGAGTCCATGTTTCTACATGGGTGCCACTTCTTTGTGTTACCGCAGAACTCTGCACTTCCCAGTACTCGGACTCCTGACTTTCATGTGTACTAACCAGTGAGCACCTTGAGGAGAGGGTCTCACACGTTTTAGATAATCAATATCTCTTGAACATATAACTGAATGACTATTTATTTACCTTATACAATTTGCCAAATTCAACACAGTCAGTTGCTTCAAAGGTGAAAGTGACTTAAGGCTCCCATTTGTTATTCTCTTGCAGTCTGCCATGTAAATGTGATTGATATTTGGATAATTCTTGTCTATAAATTTGAAGCATGCATCAGTAATCCTTTTATTTCCTGTTTAAAAAAACAAAAAACAAAAAACAGAATACAAATATTGTATTTGTAATGCCCCAGGGGTAAAAGTAAACATTAATGCTGAACCCCATTTTTAATATCACAGACCTTCAAATCGGATCTTTCTGAGCTTACAAGTAGAAAGAGCTTTAAAAGCACAGTCGGAGATATGAGGAGCACCAATGAACACTATTGATGTAATATGAGGGCACTTTTCAACTAAAGCCTTTAGAAGAAAAAAAGATGATTAAATTTACCACAGTGTATAGAACAAGCTTCGCAAAGTAATGAGATTATTTATTTTTCCCAATATTTTCAGAAGGAGACATATTAACTCTGAAATTTTCCTAATTTCAAAGACAATGGTATCTTTATTCAATATATTTGAGTACACTTACATTTGAGTAATGGAGAGGAATCAGATTTATATCATGTTACAAAGGTGGGGGAAAACATGAGAAAATGGAATGCTCAAAAAAATCACTGCATTTAGAAGTTTGACACGTAGAACTAAAGTTAAAGTTTATGCTTAGGCCGCATGACTTCTGAAACAAAAATATCCCTAATTGGGAAACAGATTTTTAGGGTATGTAAAGATTCAAATGTTTAAATGTGTGTGCGTGTGTGTGTGTGTGTGTGTGTGTGTAAATTTTTTAATGATTTTCTTACTATAAAAACTAATGAAAATCCCATTCATATTTTTCAGCAATTCAAGCCACTAAACAATGTGCCCCATCTATTAGGGCTGAGAAGAAAACGTACTCTGCAACTACCTACTTTTACACAGTTGTCCGTTAGCGTCGGCATGTCGTTGATGGTCAGATGCATAATTCCAGTGCAGCTGTTTGCAATGTTCCTGAAGCCCTGGACTGAAATCTGAATTGTACAGAGTAGATGAAAATGATGGAAGAACTTATTAGCTTGACATCTAATAAAACACTAAAGAAGTAATAACCGAAGGTATGTCATGATTTTGTTACTATATTTTAAAAATTGGAACCATAAAACAGGCAGACCTAAGAGGAAAAGAATCTGGTCTTGATTTCTTTACTACTTAATTTCTTGTATGTATATATTGTGGAATGATCATAACAAGTCTAGTTAACTTATTGTTTATTTTTTTATTGAGGCAAAATTCACATAACACCAAATCATTTGAATGGGCCATTAGCCATTCATAATCTTATGCAACTACAACCTCCATCTAGTCCCAAAACATTTTTATCACTCTAAAAGGAAACTGAGTCTATTAAGCCATTGCTCCTTACACTCCCCTTCTCACAGCCCCCATCAATCACTATCTGTGGATTTACCTATTCTAAATATTTCATGTGAGTGGAATTACACAATATATGGCCTTTCGTGTCTCCTTTCTTCCACTCGGCATAATGTTTTTGAGGTTCATCCATGGTGTAGCATCATGTATCAGTCAGTACCTTGTTCATTTTTATGGCTGAATAGTATTCTTTTTTAAACATGTTTTTTTAATTTATTCATTTGAGAGAGAGAGACTGAGAGCATGAGCAGAGGGGAGGGAACGAAAGCAGAGGGAGAGGGAGAGGCACACTCTTCTCTGAGCAGGAAGTCTGACACTGGGCTCGATCCCAGGACCCCAAGATCTTGACCTGAGAGCCAAAGGCAGGTGCTTAACTGACTGAGCCACCTAGGCACTCCTGTGGCTGAATAATATTCTGCTGAATGAATAGATCACATTTTATTCAGCCATTCATCTATTGCTGAATATTTGGGTTGTTAACATTTTCTGGATATTTGAATAGCGCTACTATGAACATGAAAATACATCTGTTTATTTGAGTATATCTAGGTATCTAGGAGTGGAATTGCTGGACAATCTGGTAATTCTATGTTTAACTTTTTAGGGAACCACCAAAATGTTTTTTTTTACAGTGCTTGCACCATTTTACATCCCACCAGCAATCTATGAGTATTTCCACTTCTCTACATCTTTGCCAGCATTATTTTTCATTTTCCCATATTTTCCTTTAAAAATATTTCCTCATGGGTTTGAAGTGGTACCTTATTGTGATCTTGATTTGCATCTCCTTAATGACTAATGCTATTGAGCATCTTTTCATGCGTTTATCAGTCACTTGCGTATCTTCTTTGGGGAAATGTCTATCCAAGCCCTTTGCCTATATTTTTTTAATTTTTTATTTTTTTATAAACATATAATATATTTTTATCCCCAGGGGTACAGGTCTGTGAATCGCCAGGTTTACACATTTCACAGCACTCACCATAGCACATATCCTCCCCAATGTCCATAACCCCACCTCCCTCTCCCAATCCTCCTCCCCCCAGCAACCCTCAGTCTGTTTTGTGAGATTAAGAGTCGCTTATGGTTTGTCTCCCTCCCAATCCCATCTTGTTTCATTTATTCTTCTCCTACCCCCTTAACCCCCCATGTTGCATCTCCACTTCCTCACATCAGAGTTATACAAATCAAAACCCTTTGCCTATTTTTAATTAGGTTATTTGTCTTTCAGTTCTTAATTTGTAAGAGTTCTTTATACATTCTGGATACTAGACCCTTAGGTATATGATTTGTGAATATTTTCTCCCATTCTTTAGATTGTCTTTTCACTTTTTAAATAATGTTCTTTGATGCACAAGTTTTTATTTTGATGAAGCCTAATTTATGTTTTTTTTTCTTTTGTTGCTTATGGTTTTGGTGTCATATCTGAGAATCCATTGCCAAATCTGAAGTCATGAAGATTTACCTTCAGTGTTTTCATCTAAGTTTTATTATTTTAGCTCTTACATTTAAGTCATTGGTGCATTTTGAGTTAATCTTTGTATACAGTATGAGGTTGGAATCCAAATTCATTTTTTTGGCATGCAGATATCCAGTTGCCCTAGCACCAAATTGTTCAAGAGAGTGTTCCTTCCCCCATCGAGTGGTCCTAGCACCCTTGTTGAAAATCAATTGGCCATAAAAATATAGGTTCATTTCTGGTCTCTCAATTCTGTTTCATTGGTTTATAGGTCTGTCTTATACCAATACCACACTGTTTGAGGACTGAGGTTCTGTAGGGTTGATTTTTCTTTCAACTATCATTATCCACATTAACGGAAGCAGCAGTTGTGGAGAATGTTCAAAATACTGACTGATCAAAGGATCAAATGCATTTGCCTATGATGAATTATCTTAAAATAATTTAGTTAGGTTTCATTTTGTAACAAATAGGCATGAATGGGAAATCAGATGGTATTTAGACTCAGTAATGGGAAACCGAGAGTCTACCCAGGAACAGACAGCAGAGGCAACACCCCTGCAACGTCAGCTTCATAACAGCATGACAGGGAGGACAAGCAATAGCAGCTATAATGGACCTCTTAGGAGACCTTTGGAGGCTTCCTGTGTCCCATCTGTCACTGAAGGTGACTTCCAAGCTTCTGTCATTACAGCCTCCACCTATATAAAAAGGACTAGCCAAAAATTAGGGAACTGAGTGTCCGATCCTCAGAACAACCAGGGCTCAGCTCAATGCCACCTGGTCAGAAAGTGTCCCTGAGCCTTAGATGAGGCCAGGTTCTTATTATACACTTATAACACCATGTAAGTATCATAACTATAGTTAAATTAATGTTACAATTAGTTGTTGAACTAAATCCCCTGTACCCCCAGCTCCCAGCAGGGTACCTATAGTGTCAATGAACAGATAATATTATTACATAAGTAAATGGAAGAATGTATGAATGAATTATGAGAGCCACATGTCTAAATAGGTTTTTGGCTGCCCAGCAGACACTGACAAAGTGAGCACCAAGTCAAAGGCCAGGGGAAGACCTTGAGAGCAGGGCTGAGCATGCAATCTGGAGTGGCTGCGGAAGCCAAGCCCTCACTCAGGGAGAAATAAATTTTGTGCTGAGGTCTGAATGTTTGTGTCCCTGCAAATTCATATATGGAAATTCTAAACCCTCAAGGTGATGTTATTAGGATGTAGGTCCTTTCAGAGGTAATTTTGGACTCTGCCTTCGTGAATGGGATTAGTACCCTCATAAAAGAGTCCCCAGATAGTTCGCTCTCCCCTTCCAGCAGGTGACACCAAGAAGGCGAACCAGGAAGCAGACTCTCAATAGACACTGAATCTGTCAGTGCCATGATTTGGACTTCCCAGCCACCAGAACTAGGAGAAATAAATATATTTTTTTTATAATCCATCAGTCTCTGGCATTTTTCTACAGCAGCTGGAACAGACTAAAATACCAGAACAATTTTTTCTAAAGAGTTTTTGGGAAATATGTTTCTAATGTCTGAACAGGGTATCTATTTTAGCCCAGGAATTAGACAAAATTATCCTAAAGAAATAAAGCTGTGCACAGAGACTTATATACAAGGATTCTCAATTTTCTCAGCCCTTTGTTCTACTTAGGCCTCAATAGACTAGATGAGTCCCGCCCACACTGGGGAGGGTAGTCTACTTTACTCAGTTCACCAATTTAGTGTTAACTTCATCCAGAAATACCCTCACAGACAAACCTGGAATAATGTTTAATCAAATGGCTGGGCACCCCATGGGCCATTCAAGTTGGCACATAAAATTAACCATCACAGCTTCCTTGGGGACTTTGGACATTTGAGAGTCATAGTTGATGCATTTGCTCTTGCCTGCTTGGTTTTGGCCAATCATTTGAACTTGCCTGGGTGCATTTTTTTATCCATATCAGCATCTTTGAGATTATCCACCCTATCTAGCACCGCTAAGTACCTGAACCAGGCATAACTAAAAAGAAAGCTTTAAGATCTTATTGTTGCCTCACATTGTGAAGTTAAAACAGAAACCCTCAAGCCTTTAGAGTTCCAATCCCAAATACTTACCTAAGGAATTTCAGTTTTTCAAAGTTAAATAACTAAATTAGTAGGGGAAATGTTCCATTTTTGAGTGCAGGTGTATGAATGTTATTTAACTTGTATAGCTTTGTGAGAAACCATTTTCAGCACTGTTAGAGTTCTCACAGAGTGAATGGAATCATCCAATGTTACGGATGTCTCAGCTCCTAAGTGACTTTTCACACGTGATGACATACTACAACATGGGGTTGGGAGGTGGGAACAGCAGAAGAGGCAGGTTATTTGAAGGGGCTTGGACTTCTCCTGTACATTGAGGTAGCCTCCAGGACCTGAGGAAACACTCAGGTCCCTTGATTGATTTCCCCCAGATTACAGAGTGAAAGAGCAAGAACACAGACGTTGAAACTCTTAACCCAGGGTTCCTTCGGATTAACATTCTTCAACAGTAACCTCCATTTCAACTGTCCTGTCCCAGCTGTCATCAGTCTTTAAACCTAGCCAGAAAGACATCTGACTTCTCCAGTACTCAGTGACCTCTCTGCTCTTTGTCTGACCTTGTACTTCCCTTTGCCTCTTTCTCTTTTCATCTACACAAACCTTAACTATTTCTCAAGTTCCAATGACTCCAGCTTCTTTCCTTCTCTTTCCCTTACTAGTCTAAAGTCTTTATTTTAGCCATAACTCTTTCCTATAATCTGCATGTCTTAAGTCCCCCAAAGAGATGACCTTATACTCTTTTTAAAATTTCTTACTGTGTTGGACAACTATTTGGGCCTGAATGAATTAAAATTAGGAGTAAGACAAATAAAGTCTGGAAAAGTTTGGCTACAGACAAAACTGCAAACAATTCCAAGTCGAAGGTAAAGCACCGGCTAAAGCAAAGCAGTGGGAGCACTGGGCTTGGACAAAGAGGCAAGATCACCCTTGGGCTGAATAGGAAAAGTTTAGTAGGTAAGGAGAGAGGGAAAGTTAATGGAAGACCCATAAGGCAAGAATGAGGTATTTGGTATTGTCCTGTCATGGATTCTTCTGAGTTTTCCACAAGTATTCCCAGAGAAAA